ATCCATATCTAATAAATTAATAATTTCAATAACACAAAAACTTATACTTTTAAAATATATCTTGAAAAAAGTGTTTTCATCTATGTGGTGGTGAGAAATTAAATCATTTTGGGTCAAATGGGACAATCCATGTTGTATAAATTAAATAATAAAGTTCAAAAATAGATAAAATGCAAAAAATATAGAAATTAAAAAAGGGAACACTTTTAAAATCATATATTCGGCATATTAAACAAGAATAAGTATGATAAATACGAAATGATTTTATTAATGATGGAAATGAGATATAAAATTTAAAACTGATTGAAAATAAAACTATTTTCACTCATTAAATCTCATATCTAAGGTATATTCTCTCATTAAATCCTATATTTAAGATATATTTTTCTCATCATTAAATTCTACTAATCAAATCCATAACATTAATTTTAATAATATAAAAATAAATATTTTAAAAAAGGAATTTAAAAGCAAAACCATTTTCTTCCCTCTCGGTGGTGGATAAGCAATTCTATCATATAGGGTCAAATGGGTTAATAAATAATGTCATAATTAAATAATAAAATAAAGTAAAAAGAATTGGGCATATCTCTAATATTATATATCCATTATACTAAACAAAAATAAATATGAAATGTAAGAAGTATTCTTATTAATGTTGAAAATGGAATGCCAAATTTAAAATCAACCTATAAATGAAATGATGCCATAGCCAAATAATAAAATTTAAAAAAGATACAAAGAATCACAAAAAAATAGAGAAACATTTGGGCACATATCTAATGTTATATATTTATAAAAAATAAAATATTGGGTACATATCTAATTTATACATTCATTATATTGAACAAAAATAATACTATACATAAGAAATAATTTTATCAATGATTGAAATGTAATACAAAATTTAATGTCAACTTAGAAATCAAAATATTTTTCTTTTGGGTAAATTACAAAGACTCCCTATACTATGGGGTTTGTGACAAAGACCCCCCTGTATTTTGTTTTGTGACAAAGACCCCCCTTTACTATGACCATGAGACAAAGACCCCAATATTTTTTAATCCCTATACTACCCTTGTAATAACTATTCTAACGAGAAAAATATTGTTCATCTTCCCCAACCTCACACTCTCTCTCCTGATCTCTCTTCTACCCCTTCGCTGGCTCTATCGTCGTTTTGTTTCTATAATTCCGTTCCCTCTACGGGTCTTATTCCTGAGTACCAGGTCAAGATGCTCCACATTTCTCTCATTTCTCCCCTATTTTTCTCTCAAGTCATTAACAACAGCAGGAAACAATTGGTTCGGCGGTAACAGAGGTCGCGACAACTATGGGAAGGAGCTGAAATAGAAAAAGAAAACGAATCCTAGAAATCGGTGACGGGTTTAAAGGCGGAGGCGGTTGTGGAAGTGGAGGAGCCATTGAGGAATTGAAGGTCGACATGGATTGATAGAGGAGTCTTCAAAAATGGGACACCGCTGCTTTCTACCCTTTGTTTCTGCAAGTACAAGAGTAAATAGAAACCATACTCACAAGCTGCCGTTGTCATCGCCAACCTTGCATCGATTACCACCTCTACTTCTCCTACAATCAGGAAAGAAACTCATTTATGGAAAAAAAAGTATCCACCCGACGAGTATCCACTAGATATCGGAATGCAAGTGACCATTGCTCGTTGTCCTACTGCACAGATGGTCTAATTGATCCCATCATGGGGTCCACCTGGATTACCATATCCAACAACTACTTTTCCCATCACAATGATGTAATGCTGCTTGGACACAACAACAAGTATCCACTGGATATCGGGATGCAAGTGACCATTGTGTTCAATCACTTCGGTGAGGAGATCATATAGAGAATGCCCAGGTGTAGGCGTGGATACATCCACATCGTTAACAACGATTTCACACAATGGCAGATGTACGCAATCGATGGTAGTGCCAATCACACCATCAACAGTCAGGGCAACCGCTACATTGCGCCGTCGAACCCGGATGCCAAGGAGGTATAGTAGTAACAGTACTATGTAGTCTTAGGGATTTATTGATACCATGCGCCCCTGTTGTTGTGTTTTTGCTAACGTGCACTTTGTGGTGTGGGTTGGGTCAGTAGGTGACAAAGCGGGTTGATACGGATGAGGGCGAGTGAACGAGTTGGAACTGGAGGATGGAGGGTGACATAATGATAAATGGAGCACTCTTCGTGCCATCCGGGGAGGGTCTAGGGGTGAAGTATGCCAAGGAATTGAGTGTGGAGCCCAAATCAGTTGGGCTCATTGAGCAGTTAACCATGAATGCTGGTACCTTTGGAGGAAGCAGGTATGCCTTTTCTCTCTTCTTGGGTTGTTCACTCTTCGGCGATGAAAGAGGAGTCTTCAAAAGAGGGACGCCGCTGCAATTCGCCGCTGGTGGAAGCGAAGGTGTCGGTGATGGTTTTGAATCTGCCGCTGTTGCAATCCTTTGATCTCATGTTTCCTTCCACTCTTTCAATAGAGATTTCTCGCCAAAGTTATTGTTTTACCTCTTCACCGGAGACACTTCTTTTGGGTGTTATTTTCTTGTTGGAATTGAAAGGTAAGAGAGGACGGAGAGGGAGGGGAAAAGAAGAGAAGCAAGGGAAAACAATAGGGGGGTCTTAACGGTCAAGGGGGATCTTTGTCTCATGGTCATAGTATAGGGGGATTTTGTCGCAAAACAAAGTATAGGGGGGTCTTTGTAATTTACCCTTTTCTTTTTGGATGGTGGGTTAATGGTTTGAGTCAAATGGATTATTTGATGATATGATAGCTAAATACTAAATCTTTAAAAATAAAAAGGTATAATTAATCAAAAGAATATATAAAAAATTGTATATTAATTATGTTAAACAAAAATTAAGTATGATAAGTAGAAATTATTTATATAATGTAGATGAGATGTATAACTTAAAACTAATCCAAAAGTAAAGATATTTTCTTATTTAAATGGTGGGTCAATGGTCCAACTTTTCAAAGAAACTCATGATGTCATAATTGAATAATAAATATTTAAAAAAAAAGATACAACACAAAAAATGAAAAAGTTCAGAATTTTGTTGAAAACATTTGGAAACAATATGATGCCCTTGGTCACACTACTGATCCAACAAAGTGATTCAATCGGTCAAATTTTGAACTTTTCAGTCTTAGCCTATCCATGTCTGACTAAGTAGTGGACTATATGGAGAAATAAATTGGTATGCCTATTGGAAGATGAGATCAAGGACCATGGATGATACACCTGCAGAATTCAACGTCTTTCATAAATCAAACAATATCTGTACTCCAATTTTTGTCTTAAAAATATGAATAATTTTTTTTTTAACTAAAACCAACTTGTTTTTCTTCTCATAACCAAATATAATTCAAGAACATGTCTTTATTTTTTTTTTTTTAATTTTGGCTGACATAAAAATAAAGGTAAAATATAAAATTTCCCCTAAAATTTCTAGGTACAATGCACATACACATTTACAACAAGCATTTAAGTTTAGTTTTTAATTTTATTAATTTTCAGTTTCTATCTCAATGTATCTAAAATTCAAGTAAATAATACGAAGAAAAAATTCTTTGCACATGCTTAATTACTAGTTTTATCAAATGACCGAATGGGGACTTCAGGGAATGGATAATAGAGAGGATAAATTCACATAGGATGTTTACTAGGGGCTCTAGATGAGATCTTTTGCTAGCAATATGGTTTGGAATTCAATAAGAGGAAGGTTCTTAAATATTGATACAGGCTGATATGGTTGCACTTTTATTTTATTTTATTTTTAGTTTTCTTTTTCAAACCATTTCAGGGGGTCAGTATAACTAATAAGGCCTGTCTACCTCCTGAAACAGGTCAACTCCCAAAACCCAACTTAAAAGTTGTCTATAGGTCACTGATGCGATATCTATGGAGCAATACAGGCCAATACGTTTGCGAAATTTCAATCCTTGAATTAGGTGTCAACTGCTGTGTTTTTTTTTTCCATTTCTTGATCAGTGTTGACTACTAATTACTTGTTGATTTCCATTTTAAACCTTTTCCTATGAGAATTAGAATTTATTTTACCCAAGAAATGGAGATCAATGATCAGATCAAGTAACTTTTTTGTTTGCCATTTCATTACCCAATGGGCCAACTTAACCTGCTCCATTGAAAGCAAAGGATCAATGACCGGTTTTGCAGAGTACTTCAAGAATTACTACTCTGATTGAAGACTTCCAAGCTCATGATACCCAAAGCTACATTGAAGGGCCCAAATCAAAGATCTTGGCCACATAGCGTTCATCAAGCAAAAGTGTCAGTTGATTTGAACATCGCAATGGATGATTCTAGAATTGAACCTGTGTCTGTGTGAAGGTATGAAGACCCCCTGGCTGAGCCAATGCCTATCTCAAACCTTTGCTTCAAAGACGGGTTGAAACCCTGAACCATACAAATAAACAGTTTCTAACATCCAAGACGTTAAATCTTTGTAGTATTTCCTGTAGTAATGAGATAGGGGAGAACAGAATAGTCAAGACTTTGGTGGCATTAACAATTCCGAAATCTGATGATGTGGGCATGTGCCTATAGGTGTGAAAACACTCCTGTTATTTGGTCATTGGTATAGAGGTGATGGGCCCTGAGATGGGCTCATGGGCTTGCTTCTGAGAATGTGATCAAGCAAACTGGAGAGAGAGAGAGAGAGAGAGAGAGAGAGGCTGAAATGGTATTCAATTGAATCCCCAACAAATTATCAGTTTGCATACTCCAAGTCCAAAAAAGTAGATAGCCCAGGCCTACTAATATTGGGCCAAGGTCAAGCGAACTGTAGGAGAGACAACACATCGCATCAAGAGGACCCACCACCATACACATACAGTGGCTCTGCCCTTATGTCCGTTAAATCGGGGAGCCACATTGCATGGGCCTGGGCCGCTTGGCCTTGGACCAGTATTACAAGCAGAAGAAGAACGGAATAGGATTCCAAGTTTCGAACTCGCTTGCTCGTGACTTTGTGCTTACTGCTTGCTCCTCCCTTCCCAGTTTCCCTTCCCTCGCATAAAAACGTTACACAATGGATAGGATAAGGCTCAAGCCTTCCCCTCTCTCTCTCTAAACGAGAAAGAAATCCATGGTGATGGCGACTACTTGCGGTTTTCTGCAACTGTGCTTCTTGAAGAAGACCCAACCCAATTCCTCTCCGATCTATCCCTCTCGTCCTCCAAATTTCTCGATTCCGTCTCGTCGGTCACTCTCCTTCTCTTCCTCTGCCACCCGTCCTTCCTCCTCTTTTCCAGTTTCGGCGACATCGGAGAAACCCGTTTCGTGGGTCGAAGATGGAAACTCAATTGACTCGATAATTAATCCTGCACTGCATCATGCTAATGTTATGTTCTTCAGATCAGCTTATAATGTGCAGGTCATGGTTGACGAGGGCGAACCGGAAGAAGCTCTCTTGAGGAGATTCCGGAGGGAAGTATCGAAAGCTGGAGTGATTCAGGAGTGTAAGAGGAGGAGATTTTTCGAGAACAAGAAGGAGGAGAGGAAGCGGAAAGCTAGAGAAGCCGGCCGTAGAGGCCGCAGAAGGTAAACATAATCTTCTTAAACTGTCTCTTGTTTATTACATGGCATTTCTGCCCAATTTAGGAATTCAGAGATCCGATCAAATATTAATTCACATTAATATATGTTTTTGATGATTAGAAAGCTTGAAATAATTCTTGGCTTAGTGGTTCTTCCTAATTCATTAGACTTCAATTCGGACCGAAAATACCCAATTTTGCTTGAGTTGACAAAGCTTTTAATCCATTGCAGACGATCGGGAGGGCCAAGGATCCCATTTTCATCTGGTAGTAGCGATGCTGCTGCGTCCAAGAAGAGTGGGGAAGACGACGACAACTGGGATATGCCTGAAGGGGACCTACCTTACTGAAGAAATGTTTGTTTTCCTCCGAGCAATTTTGTGGATTTTTATCTTTTCAATTTGTAAGTTTGGTAAGAGAGACTACTAGCATAGCAGAGAAACTTCTGAAGATTACTATTGTTTACATTCATGTTAAAGATCATTGTTGGTTTCTTGTCTGGCATTGAGAGGTACAATTAACTTGGTGCACCCTGTAGATTGATACCTTCTTTTTTCAATTCATCTGCTTTGAAGACCATTGCTGGCTTCTTCCATTCCCCTATCAGAAACAAGCTAAAACTTTAAATTCAAACCATGAAGAAATGGAACTGGTTGACTCACTTGAAGCTTTTGAAAATGAATATAGAGCCTTGAGAGAAACACATGACAGGGGCTATGTGTCGAACACGGATAGATGACTGTGAATGGATAATTAAGATAATTACACTTGAAAGTTGTCATTTTTTTTTTGGTAAAGAGAGAAATTATAGTCTTAGAACAGAGGACAGAGAAACTACAATCCGAAATACTTGAAAGATGTCTTTTTTTTTTTTGGTAAAGAGAGAAATTATATTGTCCTAGAACAGAGAACAGACAAACTACAAACCAAAATTAAACAGGTCTAGTGGAGTCTTTTTTAACCAAATCTACACTTGAAAGATGTCTAATGTATACATGTATACATCCAATAATAAGGCCATTGAAAGAATCAAAGAATAACCCCTTGAAGAAGAAGAAGCAGATACAATATATTTGATTGGGTCTGAAACTGAGCAAGCAGCAGAAGCAGCCTGGCTATGGCTTGCTAATTAATGTCCCAGAAGCGATCATTTCCTTTTTGCTCAAATTCCTTTTCCAAGCCTTCCATTGGGAGGTTAGTGTTAAAATGAGTACCCTCTTTCTTATCCTCATTATCGGGCTTACCCATTTCATCATCTTTGGCAACTGGTTTTTCTTTGCAGTAGGGATTAATTTTGGGAATGGAGGTTAACCGCCGTTGTCAATAGCCCCGCCGGAGTTAATAACTCTGGCGGTCGTTTCTTCCATGAGAAGGGAGTAGAGCAAAACTGCCACCATGCCCAGTAAGTAACTTGGTTGCATAAGGCGCATGCTTTCTCCTTTATGGTTTAATTTAATTTTAGGATAATTAACTTCGAATGTTTAAGAAAATGTCATTTTTTAAAATCTAATTCCATTTTAAAACGGAATGATATTTAGATTTTAAATAAAATGATTTTTAAAAATACAATGTGAAAATTATAGGATGTCCCGCTTAAATATATTCTATAATATTGAATATTTTTATAATTATACATATGCAATTTTTCATGGATTTCATGTTATATAATATATAGAGTGCTCCATTTTTATTTTACAATTTTAAAAGATACCTTATGAACATATTCTCCTTTAGGGCCTGTTCCTTTGCTCTTAATACCTATTATCTCTTTATTACTTTAAGAGGTATTAAGACTTTAAGAGCGTTGGGTTCTCATTTTGTTTTCAGACTTAATGTGTTGTACATCATGTATACTAGCAATAATGCTCAATTTTGTTTCCCAAAGATACTTCTAAAAGGTTGCTCTTTTCATGCATGCTACGATTATCCTATACAACAACAATAATAACAAAATATTGATAATGAAGCAGTTTTTAAAAGCGATCATTTAAATAGTTAATACTAATTACTTATTTATCTAATTATATAATTATTAATGAAATAATATTTAGAAATTATTATTATTATTTATTAATTATATACGTATTACTTAATTACCTATTTCATTATTTGATTATTCTATTAATTAATAATTAGTTATTTAATTAATTACAAGAATGATTAATAATAATTATAAATTATTAATAATTAATTAAATACTTTAATTAATAATTTATTACTTATTAATTAATTAATTAATTAATGATCAATTCTTTAAAGATATTTAATAATTTACAATTTTATATCAATCCACTTTTATTAATTATTTTATATTCATTTAATTAATTGTTAATTTATTTGTTAAATAGTTAAACAATTTTTTCATATCTAAGGTTAAAATAGTCATTTGTTACTTTTCATAATTTAACATTCAAATTTCAGAACAACATTCTCTACATTCAGACTTCATAGCCAAGAAAAGTTCACCAACTCCAATACACCTCTTAAAATAACTATTATAGCTTTTGAGGCAGAATTCAATCCAAATGAACAAACGCTTAGTTTAATATATCTATTTAGCTAATTTTTTTTTATCATTTTTATACATTCCTACCAACCACATTGTATACAAACGCCATCATATATTATTTATGCCATCTACTTAACTTTTTTAGTATAATGCAATTAGACATTTGTTATGTTTATGATTTAATAATTATATAATATTTTGTCTAAATTGAATTTTGAAAGATGATGTTTTCTTACATACGTAAAATTAAAATGAAATTATATATGAAAAATGGTTTAAATCATATTTTTCTCACTTTTTGTTGTTTCTACAAATATGGGCTTTACTTGTCTCCAACCATGGTCGTACAAAAGCATCCGAGCACCTCTTGATTTTCACAACTAAACCCTAAATCCTAAAATTAATGTTGAAAATGCATGTCCTTCGATGGATAGGAATCAAATATTGCTCTTGAACAAAAAAGTTAGGTCAAAGACGGGTTGAAAATATTGATTATAGACTGCCATCATGTAGTTTGGGGATAGTAACACTTAGCTCCCCGAACTTTCATTTGTGACAAATATCTGCCTGAACGTTCAAATTCCAGGACTTTACCTCAACCTTTGGCATATCCTTGGTAACTCCAAAACAAATCAAATGTAACTATCATGTGCAAGTTTAAACATTTCTAAAACTTCAAACTATCCTAATGTTGATTATTTTGCTGAAATTTGATAAAAGGAAACATAGGAAATTGTAGATAATAGTAGAAATATAACAAAAAAAATGAATAAAAAGAAGAAAATACAACAAAGTAAAGAAAATAGAAAATTCCAGAGAATACAACAAAGAAAAAGAGAAAATAAAAAAGACTATAATTTGCAAAAAAAAAAAAACTAAACAATACAACAAGGCATGCGTGTGCTTTAAACAATGCATGTTTTTTGTTATTTTGATATTTTCTTCTCTTGGCTCGTTTAAATGGGCATCTTAATAATTTTATCTTTACCATCAAGACTGTTAATGAAGAAGGGCATAGTGTTAGTGTTCTCCGGAAGCGTGTTGTTAACCACTTCGGAACACTAGTTTAATATTTATAAAATTTTTTCGTTTCTCAAACAATTACAAACGTAGTAAAAGGGATGAGAACGGGTTATCCACAAGGAAGTGAGAAAAAAAATTAATATGTACTTAGATCCAGACAAGAGAATACAATTGAGAATTGCAGAAAATAAGAAAATAAAATCTATTATTGCTGAAATTAAATGATTCGTAATTAAACAAAACAATAACTAAAATTCAGAATTTAACAAAGTGCGAAAATCAACAAAAGAAATAAAAGAAATAAACAAAGTTGATCTAGAATTCAAATCCAATGGCGGTAGCTACAGATCGACTGGACACCTTGTAGGAGCCCCTCTTGACAAGGATTGGGCATCCTTCCTTTCTACAACCCTTGAACCCCTCGAGACACCTTAGCCTTGAATCAGACAAAATCAGATCTGCAAAAAAAAGAACAAACAAGAATTAAATCTAGAAAAATGCAGAAATAAAAATAACAAAAAAGAAAATGAAGAAAATAAAAGAGTGGTTGATCAGATCTAGTGGCAGTAGTTGCAGATTGGTTGAACAGCTTGTAGGAACCCCTCCTGACAAGAACTGGGCGTTCTCCCCTTCTATAACCCTTGAACTCCTCAAGAAACCTTAGCCTTGTAATTGGGTGAATTGACCAACCCTTTCTCTAGGGCCCCTGGGGTCCTTTTTATAGAGAAGGGTGGACACAACTAGGAATAGAGAGAAAGATGGGGGCGGCAGCTGGGTTTTAGCAAAGTTATGGGCGCCCTAGAGTTTCTAATGGAGGGTTATCATGGTTTTAGAGTGATCATAAGGCTAAGAATAGAAGGAGAGGGCGCCCAATATTATGTAGGGCTGAGATTTGGACGCCTAGAAATGGATGGAGGAGATTTAGGCACCTAGGGTTGAAGGGAAGAGATTAAAAGAGATGGGTGGTGCCCTAGAGTGGAAAGCTAAGATATAAGATGGGATGGATGGATGGGATCTAGTGGCTAGGGGCTGAATGGTGAGGATTAGTAGTTAGGTAGTGCCTTAGGGTTTAAAAACTGTAAAAAGAGTGCCCTAGAATGAATGATTGAGATTACAAGAGGTGGAGGGTGGAGATCAAACACCTAGGGGCGGCTAGGGTTTGCTAAGACTAAAAAGAATGGGTTTGCTAAGGCGTGGGGAGCATGCTAATACAGTAGGAGGGGCGCCAAATTGGGTTTAGCAAATAGGAGGCACTCTCCTACTTTTATTTTTTCACAAAAACACCCCCTCTCTCAGCTAGACTTCACACCAGCTTCCCAAAAGCTGCATTTCAGCAATGAAAACTTCCCAGTTTTGCACAAAATTTGCACAAAGACCCTCAGAGGTCACAACATTGAAATTAACTGGGAAAATGACACAATTTGACTATTCTAAGGCTGAAAATACCCCTGAATTGATGCCCTCAAGGCATCAAAATGCAGAGTTATTAGTTAGAATCTAAAAGTTCAAGATGAATCTTTATTACAAATATAGTTCAGGGAGCTAAGTATCATTACCTCTAAAGTGAGGGTGGTAGTATGTTATTTACCCCTGATTCTATGGGAGTCTTGGACTTGTAGGTGATGTTGTCAATGGGTCAGGTCAAGGTTGGTCTAGGTCATGGTAGATCCTATCCTAATCCAATAAATAAATGTGCAAATTTTGTTTCAAATCTATCAAACCTCATAATGTTTTGTTATTAATGGATGGGCTAAAAGAGATAGGGGCATACTAAAAAGGACATGGGTAAAAGTAATAAGAAGTGATTCAAGCACCAATAGTTTAATAATGGATGTGGTTTTAAATAGAACAAATTCATGTAGTTGACCGCCTGACCCCATATAGTTGGAAAAAAGCTTGGATGATGATAGACCCATTGTTTTAAAAGGTTCAAGCCTCACATCAAAGATGTGAGAATGAGATATAAACTTCAATTATCAAGGATTACTTATTCACACATACACACACACACACACACACACTTCAAT